TAGTCCTCTCAGTGGGGGTTTTTGTACTAAAAGGGAGTGTCATTGTGTGTTTTAGCTTCTGTACTTTTTCCCCCTTGGTACTTTCTTTTTATTCTTCATAATTTGACTTAACGGTAGTTTGGATAGAGTCTAGGGGAGGTGCTGTTTATTCTTGCTGCTTGTTCTCTGTGATTCTATTCCTTTGTTAATGTTTCAGTCTCAAGTAGTATCTTTTGTGATAGTTCTTTTAACAGAATCTGGACTTTTCTGATTTTTTTTGATTTTTTTATTTTTTTTGAGTGGGAGGTGGATTATGGATGCATGTGTTTTTTGGTTACTGGGTGTGTGAATTTTCAGCAAGTTGAAACCATAGTTTTTCAAACATGGCTGTGCAAGCAGATGCCGAGAGAGAAACTTGTTTATGGAGAAGTGTGGGTGTTCATACATTTTTGAGGAAAGGGTTGGGTTGGATAATAAAAGGTTTTTAGAAGATGGATTAGTGCATCTTGGAAATATCTTACGAAGCTATTTTATGGAATATTTTGAAAGGATGGAAAGAAGACACCTATAGAGATTTGTAGCTTGTACTTGTACCGTATATTACACTGCATTGAACTATGTGGTTCTTTTTCTATGGTTCTTGATATCAATTTTGAGGAAATGCAAGACAGTCCTGTGGAACTTCACTATATAAAGAAAATTCAATGTAGTCCATTCCCTCAACATTTCTAGTTTCAGAGAGGATTAATGGCAAACTAGATGTTTCTGAAGGAGCATGGATAGCATTGCAGTGAAGATTGATGGCCAGATACTGAATTCTGGCAGATGAAATCGCTCCAAAAAAGGTGAGATGATGAGCAGAAAGCTGCTCCTTATGAGTAGATTCCAGAAAATGTGATTTTTGTGATCAATTCAATGAGTTGAGCAGCTGGGAGTTGAAGGATTCTAACCAAGTAAAAGAGTGATTAGAACATTGATTTTGCATAGTTACAAACAGACTAATAGTGCAGGTGGATTTAAAATAAGATTCTGAAATTAGTTATAAAAATGCTTTCCATTGGAAGATGTTGCTTTTTTAAATTATTTTTTTAAACTAGATAGTATGTTGGAATGTGCAAGAGCAGTAAGGGAGACTTTTGATAACCCAGAGCTTTCCCAGACAGAAAAGTTGTGGCCCAGAGTTTGGGGATCCCTGTTTTAAGAGAGGGTGAGAAGTTACTAAAATTGTTTATACTTGTTATGAAGGGAGAATTTTTTACATATTTATTTTCTTTTACTTTACTATATCCTTATTTTTTTTCTTATCTTTTCTATCCTTTTCCAATCTTTTTTTCCTTTTCTGCACTTTCTATTTTTTCTTTATATTCTTTGATATCACATTCTTTGATATCACTTTTGATTTATATTAGTTCTTATATTTTTAATTGCAGTATTTAATAAAAATATTATTTACAAATTGTTTTCATGTTCTTGCATGATGCCATTTTCTAAGAAATGTAATACTGTCCTATGTTATGGGAGTTCCTTTGTTTTAAAAGTCATAAAATCTAAGATGTACGACCGCTGTCTTCGATGTACTTAGTTATAGTAGGAAGCTGCCTATTATGGCATGTGACTGATCAGTAGTGAGACTTGCACAGACTAGAAGCTGAGAAGAATTTTGGGTGGAAATTAATTTAGAGAAGCTTAGGATGAAATGTGGGTGGACAATAATGACTTACATTTCCTGCTGGGATTGTTTTAACACTCAAATCTAGGCACCCTGAAGCAAATAAAGCACATTTGGTTTTAGATTTCTCTTTCACCTGTTTTCCATATATAAAACCATTTCCAGAGAATTTTTGCTATCCCATTTTCTGGAAAACTTGTCCAAAATTTATTTTTTCATGGAATTTGTAAATATTCTTGTTCTCTAAAGTTTAACAAAAATGTAATTCTTTGCAGCTTACTGTCCCTTTTAGCAGAAGATACAATAAGTTACTGGAGCTAGAATTGATTAGAATGAATTTCCATAAACAAACTAAGTGTTAGTTATGCTTTGAACCATTTTGCTATATACCAGGAATTGTCTGGAACCCCGAGACTTCCTTAGAGAAGAGGCTATCTGTCTTAAGCCTACTCTTTGCTGAAAGGGTATGAACTAAATAAGGTCAAACCTCACCTTAAGAAAAATTTGGCTCAGCTTTCCCAACTGGCTACATTCCAGATGTTGAAATTCAACAACTGAACACCCCCCCCCCAACCACACACATACACACCCTGCTGTTATGCTGCAGGCTTGGCTGATTTCCAATACTGACATTCAGATTAAAGAATTAGCACTTCACTAAACCTAGTCTTGTACAGAAAGTTTTGTGCTCTGGTTGCACGGACAAGCATTGTTTCTAGAGGTGCCATAAAACCTATCCTGCAAGTAATTACAATGCCAGATTAGTAAAGTAATCAGCTAGGCTAGAATCTGACATTTTTAAGGCATGTGGTATGCTATCATTTTGGAAGCTATGGGAGAAAGAACTTCAAATGGACAGATTGAAAAAGTTGGTGGCCAAAGGAGGTAGAATCAGTGCTGAGGAATGGGCAAGCTTTTCGATCTGAAGGAGTCCTGCTGGGAGATGACCAGAGTTTGTGTAAACCTTACTGTAAGTAGCGATAGAAACTTTAAGCAATCAGCAAAATCTGACCAGAATAAATTCCATCAGGTAGTACTAGAAGCTAGAAGTATTTTAAGACTGAAAGCAATTGCTGTGTAGCGTTTGTGTCCATCTGGGCTGTAAAGGCTAGGAAAATTGGATCTATGATTTCGATTTAGCTGAGGCAGAATTTTCAGGAAACCAGAACTATGTTTAAGCATGGATTTATACGAACTAGAATAAAAATTTAAATATTAAGTATATTAGTTCAATTACTTTCACAAGGAAAATGAAACTGTTGCTTATCATATGGAATGTTGAGGTTGCTAAATTCATTTCTTAAATTGGAACTTGTTTCTTAAACAATGTTGCAGAGAATGTTATGGTCCTCTTTCTGTGTGAAGGGTCATTATAGCATGAGTTTTAAAACACTGTTTCAACAGTATTTGGAAATACTAGATAAGGATACTATTTTAAAAATACTGTACTTTTTTTTTTTTTGCAAGCTTTGTCTTTTCTGCTGCAATTCTGTCATTTTGTGATTCTATAACTTTTATAGTTTTTTATACTTTTATAGTTTTATAACATATGCACATTAAATTCCTTTGTAGTACATACATGTATTAGATGCATTACTACCTCAAGGAAAGGAAATATATTTATCATTAAATTTATATGCTGATTAACTCCACTCTGCAAAGCAACTTTGACTTCGGGTTTAGTGCTAAAGTATGTCATTAGTAAGATTAAAAGAAGGATTAATCTAACATGCAATACTAAATGTGAGGAAAGTCTGCAGTTCATACTTCAGTCTTACTTTAATTCAATAAGTCTATCTTGTATTAGATGTGAGAAAATGGCAAATAAATGATTTTTAAAGAAAATTTTGCGTTTACCCAGACCTTGGGGGAATAGGGGTTTTAAATTGGGGTGGCCGTTTAATTTAATTTATTTTTAATTATTTTAACTTTTATATAGTATGTTATTTTAATTCTCGGCTGTTCACCGCCCTGGTCCCTTCGGGGAGAAGGGCGGGATATAAATTTAATAAATAAATAAATAAATAAATAAAAATAGGGTGATTTGTGGAGCTAATGTTTTTTCTTTTTCATCTTAACTTGATGATTTTGTTCTTTAAACCTGTTATATTTGTGTGTGTGTGTGTGTGTGGGTGTGTGGGTGTGTGTGTGTGTGTGTGTTGCAAGTGAAAACTGAATTGTTCTTTCCTGTAAAGTTTTTGTTCATTTTATTGACTACCCATAGTATTCTAAGGCCAGTTGTTATATCTGTTGTAGTGAGTTTGGCCTTCTTACATTTAATTTAAGTCCTATTTTTACTATGTTCCTCCACTTTCATTACTAGATCTTGCAGATTATTTGCGTTTTAAACTACCGGTATCCAAGAACGTCATCATCATAGTGTAGGTTATTGATGTTTTAAAACCATGCTCACCCTCTTCCAATTAATTCTCTCTATATAAACATTCTACATAGTTTGAATAAATAAGAGGAATGCATACAGCTTAATCTCTTTTACTGACCTGGTGCCAATCTGTTTGACAATTTTCCATCCAGACTATGGCTTTCTATCCTTAGGATAATTCCCATATCCACCTCTAGTACTAGTAAACGTCACAGATATTTGTGTTATAAACTTTCCACACTAACAACACTAAAGATTCCACACTAACAGCTATTCTTATAGTTTTCCTCAGTTATGGATACCTGATATCTTTTCCCAAAAACATATCAAAGACAGTCCAATCCAAAACAACCTTTGCATTTTTTACAGAGATAATTTTATGGAATTAATACCAAGGAGAAAATACAGCTTGAATAGGAATCTTATTGCAGGAATGACAATTTCTTCTTCTTTGACTACACAAACAGTAATCTTAAAAGCATAGTTTTGTAAAGAATAATAAACTATGGGCTATTGAAGGCTTACTTTACTCTTATTTGTTGTTCTAGTTTATAGTTTTCAGCATTTTTTACTAGGTCCACTTTTCTGTTTTTTTTCTCTTCCATAGTTGTTTTGATCTTTAGTTAAGAATATCTGTGGACTACATTTACACCTAGCCTTTGTTTAAGTATAAATGCTTCCATTGAAAGAAATTGGCCTTGTAATTTGAAAAATACAAAACGTTGGTTTGGGTTACTTATTACAGGTAATAGACATTTGATGAAACAAACACTTGGCAGAATATTTAGTTGGAAACCCAGGCAGAAAACAATAAAGTGCAACTTAATTCCTAAAAATGTCTGAGCTATAAACTACCTCTCATGGCATAGCATGCATATAGTAATAACAGGCTGACAAGACTGATAAAGTGTATGTATTGCTGTAAACACAGCTCTGTAATGTACTTTCTCCTTCATTCATATTTTGCAG